TCATAAACATGTAAAAATTTAAATAAATACAATTGTAAAAATTATAATAAAATAGTTTGAAAGACAAAAGCTTTCCGTAGAAAGTAATACATGGTTAAATTGTTTATCGATGGATAATTAAAATAATGATTAATGTGTTCATCAGGAGTTGATTCAATATGCAATGTTGCAATGTTGAAAAAGCGCTTTTTAAAAATTTAAGCCATGACAAAGAAGAATTAGGAGAATCAATAAATTATTAATGATTTACTGCCATTGTGTGAATAATATGTAATCATTTAATCAAAAAAAAAGTAACTGTAGTCTGATTATGAGTATTTTAAAACTTAATATAGGCTAATCTAATTACAAGTAGGCCTACTTCATTTTTCATCTGATTACGTAATCCAGATTATATGTAAACAGTTACTAATTTAATTAGGCTACTACCCACTGCTGACAGGCATAAAATGAGATCAGCATATCTTATGAAAGGGCGGATATTAGCCTAGGCCTACTGTATACGATTAAAATTGGGGGGACAAATGAGGAATAATAATTGCATTTAAGAAGTTTATTTTGTGACAAACGAAACCGAGGGAAAACGGAAAGCCTTGCCATCCGGTTGCTTTGGCAATGGGAGAAACTAAAGTCCAAGTTTTAATGCCATTAATGCACACCTGTTGTTTTGATTTCAGCAAATCGCTGTGGGTGAACGCAAACAGCCGGGTTAATATTCATGAGCCCAACAGCCTGAAAAAGCAATGAATATGCAATATAGGCTACCTGAGGGAAGACGACGTCATCAAAAAAGACTCATCCCTGACTGTTGTGAGTAATGTTGTTCAACAAATAAAATATTTTATATTTAAGTAACTTTTACCCTGTTTTTCGATCCGGATATCATTATTTTTAGTCTTTTTCACAAAAACAGTGAATGAAAATGTCTCACCACTAATATAATTCTCTAAATTCTGTGTAAAATGAAAATTAATAATATGACCTTTCATTCATACATTGACGCACACCAAAAACCCAGACTAGACTGACCTTACTGCAAAACCACAAACCAGTTTAGGCTGATTGAAGCCATTTTCAGCAGGGGTGAAATGATTGGCACAAAGCTCAGAGCGGCCTTAAAGTGTACCAATTTGTTGGGAAATTGCAGTAGTGAAAATGTGTGTCCCTGATTTTAGGTCTACATTTATTATACAATTCTCCCATCACACTTCAGATGTGCTATTGCCCTGCTGCCATGACAACAGCATTTATCATGACATCACCAGAGTGACTCATACTGCATAGGTCTGCATAAAATGTGAACGGCTTGTGTGCATGAAAATGAGAGAGAGAGAGAGAGAGAGAGAGAGAGAGAGAGAGAGAGAGAGAGAGAGAGAGAGAGAGAGAGAGAGAGAGAGAGAGAGAGAGAGAGAGAGAAAATGATATAAATTTATGCGTTTGTCTGACAGCATTTACCTAATCAGTAAGGATGACAAACAACACACAGCCGGAGACGATTCAGTAGACATCCACATATTTAATTCTCTATGTAACAAAAATAAGTACACGTCTTTGTTCAAGGAGCTTTACGATATTGAAAAAGTGAACAGAAAACCAGACATTTAGAAATGCACATCAACACATACAGTACAGAAAGCGAATTGTATTGCATGACTGGACACAATTAATCCCTTTTTAGTATTTTTTTGAGGACATAATCAGAATCTGCACTGGATGGTTATACATTACTTTTTTCAAGCTGTATTATATGTGTGCATATGTGAATATGTGTTATAATGTAATATATTATATATGTGTGTGTGTGTGTGTGTGTGTGTGTGTGTGTATATATATATATATATATACACACACACACACACACACATAATTACATTTCATTAACCCTATATCCAATTTTATGCTTTATAAAGTCTTTGGCACTCAAAAAAAATCTCTCATTGGACTTTAGCAGTGGCATGTATATAGTCAATTTAGTGGTGCACATTGCACAACATCCACCAGGCCCATTTTGCACTTCCCATAATCATTACCCGTGACTATAACTGTGTTTATGTAATCTAATCACAGTGATCATTAAGATGGTCAAGATTTCAGACCATACATTGAGTCACGCTGGTACAGATCTGAACTGTGGTTGTAGATCAAAATCAAGTGCTGCCATTAAATATGACTGTCCCTTATGAAAAAGAAGTACACTTTAGAATAATTTATTATTATGGAAAGAAAATACTTAAACGCAAAGTGAATGTAATGATTTGGACTCTTAATTGCATGTTAATAGCAATTAAATAAAAATGTATTATCGTTCAAATTGGAATTAAATGCATTTAGATGAACTACAGTGCTTTTTGGACCACTTAAGTACATCTTTATATGTATTTTCATAATTTCTTTTTTTTTGTCTGAAATTTGTTTAAAGTGCTGACAAGTACTGACAAGCATGTATTCACTAAAATATACTTCATGTAATTTCTGTTAAAGTGTACTTTTAAAAGATTATTAAAACACAGTGATTTAAAATGTACTTTAAAGGAAAACTTTTAATTTTACAGCCTACTTCTTTTTCACGAGGCTCATTCAGCACAAGAAACCTACTATATAACATAACAAAAAAGAGATTACGCGAATGTGACAGGAAATACATCCCACATGGATTTCACAAGATTGTGAGTAGTGTAAAAGCAGTTGTGACAAAAAATGCAAGTAAAGAAACTGCTGAAACTCCTGTTACTGAAAATGTAACATCACAAGATATGCTGCAAAATGAACTGCAGGATTAAAGTGATCTATTGCTAAACTACTTTTACTATTGAAAAATAAGTCACTTGGATAAAGCTAAAATGATTATCTAAACATGAATAATCATTGCTATTGTGTAGCACAATGTTTTAGTAAGACATCCTCATTGTGATCTAGAAGTATTTCATGATTTTGAAAGGGATTCTTGCTAAAATTCACAGATTTGAAGGGGTGTCCCCTGGACATATATCACATGGGGATCTTATTTGGACCCCCTGAAAGCCCTGACAGCCCTAGTTCTGATTTAAAACATATGCTGAATTCGGAACCACATACCAGCATACTACTCTTATCATATCTTTCTATGGCAGAAATAGTAAGAGTATGTAGATCAAATTCAGCAATAGTCTTTTTGAGGGTCTTCTGCTGAAGTTAACCAGGCAAGTTAACAATAACATCTTTCACCACAGGGAGGCAGTCTAAAACTAAAGCTGAATTGCCTCTACTCACAATGTAGTGCAACAGTATTCTCATGTTATAGCGCATTAGTAACATTGACAGGTACTACACACATTCTGCGTCTGGTTTACATTTGTGTCCACTTATATTACAAGAGTAAAGAAAGGTAATTCAACATTGACAATATTCATACAATTAAAATCCTTTTGGCTGACACTTTGCTAAGCTTGTGAAATAGGAGATGAATTAATGAAGACTGAACTAAACTAAAGCTCTCATGACAAAAACAGCTCACCAGCCATACCAGGTGACGACAAACACGACGGCGTAATACTCCTAGCACTGGCGTGAAGATCATAAGAAAGAATTAATACAAAGGTTGAGGCATTTGTGTTCTCTTCCGTGAACTCACACTCACACACTGCGGCTTTCACACCAGATTGCAAAGAAGAAAATGCACACATTAGTTTTTCTCTTTCACAGACAGACCCACATACATAAGTACAGTAAAGTTTTTGTTGTGTTAGCACACAAATCATTGCAGCTGTGTCAGAATACGAAAGCAGTTCTAAGAGAAACATTTACATGTACATATTAAGCATGTGTATAGGCATTATGTACAAAATGTCTTCATGTACATATATTGTCAGTTCTCTATCTAATAAATGCTATCCCTCATTTTCTGGCATGATCCGTCACTAAATATCACCCTTTTACTCAGCCATGGCTTTGGAGTTTTATCTCAGCCAATAACACGATTAGAAGATGGCTATGCTTTGTGATGGTATCATCAGTTTATGGCAATGTTTTTACTAACAGTATTACTCGAGTGGGGTAGAGCGCTGTATATGAAGGCACCCGCAAATGTCAAAGGATTCAGTCCTGCCCAGAACTCTGTGCTTTCTACATTTCCCCTCTCTCTAATGCTCTTCCTCACGCACAACAAGGCATGTTGCTGCTCTGACATTTTCAGTACAGAAAAAATTAATTCAAAAATTATATCATATTTAATAGGGATGCACGGTATAAATATTTGGCTGATACCAATAAGCAAATAATTATTGTTATGGCCAATGAATATGGAAGCCCCAAGAAGCCATGCATTTTTCTTTTTTCCTTTCTTGTGAGCCAACAACATATATATTATATTCAGTTCTATTTTGTCTAAATAAATGAAAAATAAAACAAAAATGAGTGTTTTAAATGCTACAGGTGAATTTGGACATCACATTATAATGTATAATGGATATTCATTTTGAGATTTGCTAAAGATTGCATTTATTAAATTGTTAGTGTTTTTAAAGAGTGTTGGATGACAGAAAAGATAAGTAAAAATGAGGTAAAAAATGAGGTAAATGAGCATGCACAATTATATATACAAATAATGGGCGATTATGCATACAATATCAACAAATAAATAAATAAAAATAATATCAGCAGATAGCTAGCTACAGACATATCGTGCATCCCTAATGTATATTTTCACCCTTTGCCTTTTGTATCTTTATCTTGGATTAAAATGTGTTCAAATGTGTTAATTTATTATTTATAATTATTAAATTAAACTTCTGAAAGAGACGGATGCCTGTCTTTTGGCTCAAAAGTGACTTTTCTGAGGAACGAAATGTCTTAATGCAATTAATGATTCAATCTTTCAATCTTTCTGACTCTCTCTAAGGGCTGGAAAGCAGACAGAATGTGTAAAAAGTGATACAGGATTGAAAATACTCTTTCTTGCATTACTCATTGCCTTTGCACTCCCAAGATTACCATGCAGTCTAACTTCTGTTCAACAGTATGTTTTCTCTCAGCATCTATTACCTACATCTCTCTAGAAGTCTGTACATGGTTCTCCTCCTCTCCCTACACCCCCCAGCCTCCTTCACTCATCTCCCTCCTCTCCTTTCTTACTTCTGCATGTCACATTGCAGTAACAGAACAATGGAGGGGTCGCTCTTGGCCGCCTCTTTGAACTCCTCCAGCGTGATCTCATCGTTGTGGTCCTTGTCCATCTTGCTGAAGATTTTGTCCACACGCTGCTGTGGGGTCAGCCCGTCCTCGTTCATACGCATCATGATCACCGTTCCAACCATCTTGTAGATTGCCTGGACATCAGAGACATCCCGAATCGATGGGGTGAACACATTTCTAAAGCAAACATATTTAGTATGTGAAGCAATGGCTTCTCTGAATACCTCACCTCAATGATCTCCAGCATCTCCATGCGTGTGATCTTGCCATCTCCGTCTAGGTCGTACATGTTGAAGGCCCAGTTGAGTTTCTGCTCAAAACTTCCCCTGGAAGTGATGGACAGTGCGCAGATGAACTCTCTGAAGTCAATGGTACCATCACCATTTTTGTCAAATGTCCGAAAGGCATGCTGAGCGAATTTTGAAGCATCGCCATAAGGGAAGAACTGGAAGATACAAAAACACATATGGCAACTGACTTTTTAGTACACTTTTTAGTAACCTAACTACATAGATATCCTTAAATGATAATTCTTTCATCATACGCCCTATAAAGCCTACTGTATTGAATTTGATAAACACATTTACAAGATCTCTTAATTAACACGATCAAAACTTTGCTGAAAAACCTGTTGTACACAATCTACGACATGCTTTTTGTCATTTGATAGTTTATACCTTTTTTTTTTGTGAGTAAAATGTCTTTCAGTATAATTATAAAACCTTCAGTTTGGGCATCTGAATAAAATTGAGTGTTTTTCCTGCTCTTTGAGTTAGAGCTCCATGTTCTCCTTATATAATACTATATAAAAGCCAAATGTAATAAATATGATACACAACAACAACAACAAAAAAAACACAAATGCAAACTTTAAACACAAATTCATACTGGTTTGGAACAGCATGAGAGCCAGTAGATCATGACAGAATTTTCGTATTTAGGTGATCTATCCCTTTAAAAAAAGTATTGAGATTATTTTTCATTATGCTTGTAATTTATTTTATGCACCTTAGGGTCATATGGATAAAGTAACTATATCGTCTGTGTAAAGTATCCCTTTGGGTGTATAGACAACGTTCACCTTGACATAAAGTTGCTGGAATTCTTCCAGATTGAGGATGCCAGTTGGACAGTCCTTCAGAAATCCCTTATACCACTGCTTCAGCTCAACTTCATTGAACTCTGTACTCTTGGTCAAATCGTCTAGCACCTCAGGAGCAAGCTTGCTGTTGTGTTTCCCCATCTTTTTACACCTCTCTGTGGACAAGGAGGGAAAAGAGCCATAAAATACAGTAATGCTTTATAGATTGGCAGCAGCAATCAAAAACAGAAATGTATTGTGGACAACAAGTCTCTTGACAAGACTAATGCGAAGGTGTAATGTAATGCAACTGCAGCTGTGAATCGCACCATTCAAATGGCACCCATCGCCTCCATCCTTTTTTATTATGTCTGCCTCAAATATCATACAAAATAAAGAGTACAGAGCAAGATTCTATTATTAACGAAAAACAATGATCAAATACAGCTGCAAGCAACTGTTGTGGAAATTTTAATAGTCATTGATCCCTAACAGATATCATAAGAGAGAGAACCTATTCAATGTGTAAAATATAGATGATTCAAAGAATGTCACATGTGTGTCTCTCACTTGTAGTGAGAGAAGATTCTGTTTATGTACCTGGGGAGGCAGAAGAGGGAGACACTCCAGAGAACAGACGAACAAGGACCTCTGACCTAGATGTCAGAAGGCCATTTTGGTGCGGGGGGGGCTTATGGGCCAACTAGTGACGTCTATGGAAAACTACTGGGAGGAAGGCTCTGGGGGGAAGAAGGCCTTGAAACTAAGATAAAAGCTAGTTCAGTCTGTCTGGGGGGTGTCACTCTTCTGCACAGGGTAACAACTGTGTATTAGACTGCTCCTATTCTTGCAAGAATAAATTCTTCTATTTTATATAATTTGACTCTGAGTGTCTCTTACGCAGTGATGTTTGTTTGAGATGAATTTTTGCCACAACAGTTTTGGTGTCAGAAGTGGGATTCCTTGGACGTGCCTCCTGGACCTGAGATCGGACGGTGTTTGGCCACCTGGGCTAAGTAAGTTCCAGCTCTACCTCGTAAACTTGAGAGAGAGGGGCCGACCGATATCAGGGCCGGGAGAATCGACCACTGGAACCTAAAGAACCCGCAGGTGGCAACAGAAGCATCTCTGGTAAGAGACAGTTCAATTTATTTTCTTTTGGGTAAGTTAATTAAATTCAGTTTAATTGGGGAAAGAGTGAAATTGAACCATATTGGCTGAGGGCTGTTTCTGTGGTACGTAATCTGAGATTAATTGAGATCTATATATAGATCAAGAGGTTTCAAACAGATACGAGAGAAAATATCTGAGATTAATTGAGGTCTGTGACAGAACAAGAAATTTCAAGCAGATAAATAATCTGGGATTAAGTGAGAACTGTAACAGATCAAGAGATTTCAAACAGATAGGTACCCTGAAAATTAGTTGTTCCACCACGGAGCAAATTGTTTTTAGGTGCTGAGGCTAATTAGGGGGAACCAGAAAAGATTTTTTGGTAAACCATAATTAGGAGGGCACTAATAGTGCAACCCGACCGATTTGGGTTAAAAGAAAAATCGGGTCTGGGAGGGACGCCTTTCAGACCAAGAGAACGCGCGTTGAAGAGAAATCCACAGAGAACAGAAAACAGCCAGTATGGGGATGTCTCAAAAGCAAGCTTGCGAAATTTGATACACCGGTTTTCTGTAGAACTAGGAAAGTATGGGGGAAAAAATGTATGTTTTAGATATTGAAAAAACTGAGAAAATACCATGATTTTCCCAGGGAGGGAACACTGAGCACAAATAGACTAAGAGTGTGCGAGAATCAGTGGAACAGGGCAGCGGGACAAAAGGTTGTTGTGGCTGCGTTCAACATGTGTGTAAAAAATGTGAACAGATAATGGATTGTTCAGTTGAAGATAAAATGTCGAACTGCCAGGAGAAATAATTTTTTTTTTACTTCTTTATCCAGTAAATGGATGCATGACATTAGATGTCTATAGAACTTAAATTTATATGACAAGGATTGAAGTAGCAAGAAGCTACTAAGTTACAGCCTTAGGAGGCTGGGGGGGGGAAATATTATTTGTTTATAGTGAGAGAGACTGCCTGAGTTGGAGGAAGGGATGGTAACTGTGTCTGTCTTTCTGTTATCGGCCTGCTAGAGCAAGCTGAAGCAAAATAATGATAATGAAACAAAACAACCCAGCTGACTTGTCTAAAAATCAAATGAATAATGAACAGATGTAAAATTAGGTAGAAGCTACAGGAAAAAATGAAAAGGTTAAAATCTTATTTAAAATTTAAATCTTTAAGCAATAATATAAAGAAAAATGAATATTGAAAATGAACAGTTAACATATGTGTGTCTAGTATGAGTGTGTGTGGTGACAGCACTTTATGTCTTGTATGTATTAGTTTGGGGCACTAATGTTCCGCCTGAATGGTGTGTATATTGCGTCATTAACCTCTGGAATGAGTTTATCATTACAGATGGGTTAAGGCAAATGACAAATTTTAAAGAAGCTGATAATTCTGATGAAAAGACAATACAGAACATGGGACAAGCTTTAAGTTGATTGGCCATCAAGCTCTGTCTGGTAGTAATAATTTTGTCATACATAATGTAGATTTGAAGATCAGTTTAAGTAAATTGGAATTGTGTAGTTGTAGATCACCATCTGGCATGGGCTGAGATAAATGAAAATGTTGTAGATTTGAGGGAAACAACAAAGTGACATATTGGCTAAGTCAACATGAAATTATCAAGAGAGCCTCTCATATTTATGATTATTGTGAACAAAGGGGGAGAAATGATTGACTGACATTGACCAAGTCTGTACAGCACGACTTGACCTGATAGGGAAAATTGATGACTTTGGAAATGTTTGTAGATGACTGACTTGAGAGACCAAACAACAGGCCTGAAAAGCAAGATTCGGTGTGAGACTGAGGGCCGTTGCCTTTCAAATACTTCGATAAGAAGATGAGATTGTGGCTTTAAGTGAAGAATGTAATATTTTTGTAATATTTTTGTTTCAGAGGCAGAGAAAGATGTCTGGAGGGAATTTGTCTGAAGGAATGTTTGGATTAGTGTTGATGGCAAACTTTATCAAAAACACTATGTTAAATGTTATGTTAAATTGATGCTCGAGTTGTGTCGTGCATCAAAAGGGGGATGGTATAACAATTGCCAAATATGGTTTATTAAGGGGTTCACATTTGCTGAATAAATGTTGGGAGAACACTAGGGGTAATTGGATAAAAGCCCTGAAAGAAGCCATTTTTCTGCCTAACAAAATTTATGTCTGTGAGTGTGCTGCACACACCAATAACAAAGATTGTTTCAACAGGAAACGCCAGGGCATCGAAGGACACGGGAGAACAGTAGACAAAAGAAACTACGTACTTTACTATCTGACAATAACCTCGAAATTTGTTTCTCTTTACAGAGAGCATGCAGGATTGGGAGACAGGGCAAAATGTGCCCAATAAAATAATGGTTATGGATGAATTTGGCTAACTGTCCTGGCCTGGGTTATTATTGTGGAAGAAAGGTGCTACACCTGCGCAGCGCATAACTTAAAATTTTCCTTTTACAGAATGTCAGGATGGATTGCATCAAGCTGAACTGATTGTGTTTCCAAATGTATGAATATTGACTTGTTAACGTAAGCAAAGTGGATATGTGTTTTTCAGGGGAAAAGGACTGAGTGCTATTAAGTGAGCAAGAAATTATCCGGTGATAATGTTTCAGATTGTTGAATCCACAGGTCACACCAAAGGGGACGAGCGGCAAGACAAGCGGTCACTAACAAAATACTTAAGGTCTCCATTCACAGGTGACGGGAAGCAGGAAATGGTTCATTCCAGTGGGGGTGCGGTGGTGATCTCAGGAGATCAGTGTCACCTGGGTCCAAGCCTCTCACCTTAGACAACACCAACAGGCCACAATCATCCCATAGTCCATGGGGCGAACGAGATGATCAACACGCCTGGAGGAGGATGTGAACCAACTAATGGTTTAAGAATGTGGTTTTGTGATTATTTTGTGGATTTTATTTGATTAAATCAAAATAGGGCTTAGTATTGATATACACTAGATCAAAAGATTTGATTGGTTACTTATTCATTAGGAAATATTTAAGGAAAATGTTTTTGGGAAGAGAAGATCTATTAATTAATGTAAATTATAGGGATAATTGTTGAAGCTTATTAAGTAGAACCACAGCATGTTTGAATTAAAAGTTAGAGGTAAAAGAAACAGAACGTCCGTGGGGCGAACGAGATGATCAACACAACTGATGGTTTAAGTTTAACAGAAGAATCTGTTTTTGTGATGATTTTGTTTGATTGAATCAAACTAGGTATTGATTTGATTGTAAATGTAGAAAATATATTGATTGTGTCTGTAATGGAAATATTAGAGTTAATATTGAACAACTGCATTGGTTAGAAGAATGGATAAAATTATAAGACTTCTCTGGTTAGATTTTGTTAAATATGGCATTAAATAGAGCTTACTAAATTGAATTAGAAGTGAACAAAATATGGTTAGGAAAACCGAGGTGAAATATGAAGATGGGCGTAGATTAATGGAAAAGGCTTAATGATAGGGTTTAGGATTGTTATTCTAATAATTTTGTTATTCATGGGGGAATACGATTACAGTGACAGGTGAAACATGCTGTCTGTTCAATTGGTGAAAATGACAGTCTATCCCAAGGATGAACAAAATGATGTGACGATACATGTAGCGGGAGCTACAGTGAGATATGTGTTAAATGTATGTTCTGTTTGTTTTTCTTCTATTTGTTTATTTTCTGAGAAAGATTAAGGGCAAAAGATTTAAAGAGGGTTAAAAGCAGCGGTCATCCGTGTTACGAGATGGCGTACAAGGACAGGGGTTGGAACTGAGGGATTTTTTTATTATACTTTTATCTGTTTGTTTCCTTACTATGTTATAACTACCTTTTTCCTTACTGGCGTGACTGAGGGTCTGTTTACAGGAGCGCAGGAACAGAGATTTCTCGCTTAGCCCGGCGTCGTAAAAATGTTTACTTGCTAGCTAAAATATTACGGGGCCTTTCCCCCACAAAAACAGCCTTATGCTTCTTCATTCTAAACTTTTCTTCACAGGTTCAAGGAGAGTGATCATTTATGCAAAAATCAGAGATGAAGAGTATAAGTGTGAT